TCTAGTGCGGTCTGGTTGGGGGAAGGCACCTGCTCTCCCCGGCCAGTCCTAGCTCCAGGCGCAGAGCACGGTTTGCAGAAGCAGGGTCGGCCCCACCAATGTCCTCCCCCCTATTTCCCACCCATGTGAGGAATACATTTTGTGATGTGCGCCGAGGCACGTGGGGATGTGCACCGCCAGTAGAAACACAGGCTACTGACTCCAGGTGCTCTGCTAGTCAGCTGAGTGACATTTGAATCTTTTCTGGGCTGCTTCCCAAGCGCTCAGCTTACAGGGAACACTGACTGATCTGGCTCTGCAGAAAACTGGAACCTCCTGAAATGTGTGATCTTTGGAATCTTAATTGGACTCTGCTCACAGCCCTGCTGAGTAACGCCACCGCAGCTCCTTAACACTTCAGTGGGAGGTTCCACCACAGAGAGAGAGAAGTGGGGGAAGGAGAAGTAAGGAAACGAAGTGACAGTGTAGCATGGGGCATGGAGGCAACCCCCAGCCAGCAGAGAGACCAAGGCCTCCAGCAGCGAAGAGTTGTCCCCTGGCTGCTAATCCCTGCGATCGCAGGACCAGAGTCGGCGCCCAAAGGCAACAGCCCTGAGGCCCCATCTCCCCTCCTGCAGACCCACCTGCACGGGCTCTCAGCCTCCTTCCTTTGAAGGCAGCAGGGGACGGTACGGAAACATGCAGCTGGGCTGGGCTTGCTGCCCTCTGCTCCCCGGAATGCAGCAACCAAAACCCGCCCGCCCGGCCGGCTCCCTCCTGCAGGCAACAGCTCCCTGGAAGAACCCACGGGAGGCCTGAGACAGGCCCGAGGCGAGGGGCAGAAGAAACAGCAGCCGGAGCCCAGCCACAAGATGTCCACAGGAGCTGATGTGTTTCAATAGTCTTCTACAGCATCCCTTCCCCAACACTTCGCCAACTCTGAAGTTCTGGGTAGGGGCCCCTGCTCAGGTCACACTAGATGCTCAGCAGCTGTCCCTTCTGGCCTGAAAAATCCACGGAAGTGGTGATGTGTTAACCACCTGTACACCTCCTGGCATGGTGGGTATTAGCCCCATTTCACAGATGGGAAGAGAGAGGAACAGAGAAGGTAAGTGGCTTGACCAAGCCCAGCCAGCAAGTCGGTGGCAAAGAATGGGGGTGGATTCTGACTCCTGACTACTAGACCCCTGAGATGGCCGCGCGGGTTGTCGTTTGGCTTTTAAACAAAAGCCAGCAACGGCTCCATGAAAACAACGTACACGGAAGGTCTCCCTCCCCTTTGCCCAGGGACTGCAAGGAAGCGGGTTTTCCCCCAGAATCAGCAAGGCAGCTCGTTGGGCAGCACCTGCCTCGCTTTGGAGCATGTTACATGGAGTGAGGGCCAGCTGGCGCGGCTTGGAGCGAGCCATCAGCTGTTGGTCCCCTCCATTGTTCTCGGTTTCAGATGTTCTCCACCCGCCGGCCGGGTACCGGAGCATTGCTTATGTAACAATCTCTTGGCCTCTTTTCTCCAGCACTTGTTGCCACCACCTTCCTGGAGGTCTTTTCCTTGGGGGCGGGGAGAGAGAAGACAGCTTGGAGTAGTGACCAGAAGGTGTCTCTGCCGGCCACGTGTTCGCAGCCAGACGACGTGGCTCTCACCCAGACACGGCTGGCAGCCGGGGTCTAGTCCGGTTTCCATGTTTGGAGTTCCAGTCCCTCCGGGGTTTCTGCAACCCCCTCTCGGTCACGACTGTGCTAGTCCCCATGTGGGTTTGTAGCCCAGGGAGCTGAAAAACAATCCATGTCCACGAGGGATGGGAAGAGCATGCGAGCCCCTTGCTGGTTGCCACCAGCTGTGAATGAGGCCGGCACTGCCGCAGGGCTGGACAGGATCCGGCTGCTGCGCTGAGGCCAGGTAGTCCAAGGGGCCATCCGAACCACAGGCCGGGACTAAGAGCTAGAACCAAGCCCCACTCATTCCCTGCATCAGGACCTGCAGGGATAGGGGGGGACGCAGGCAGGACAGTCCTGTGGCAACCTCCTCCCTGGAATCCCCGGTGCTGCTCAGCTGGGGGGTGGGAACAGGAGGAGACGTGGACTTTCGGCCGGTCCCAAACCTGACAGACTAGCCCGGTGCCCCCCCAGCAGCCCGGCTCTGCTACAGCAACGCGGGGCCCTCTCCGGACGCTTCGTTCACCCGCTGACAGGTCCCAGCTGCCTTTCCGCCTGGTCACTTTCATGCACAGAGTCAAACACGGCACCGCAGAGCTCACTGAGCAAAGATGCAAAGGAGCAATCGGTAACCAGGGCTGTCCTGACCCTTCCCAAGCTCCACCCCCTTGGCTCCTCCCCCAAGTGAGGCAGCCCAGGGGATGATGAGGGGGCCTGGCACCGCTGCACACGACTTCTCCGAGGTGGCAGGAAGCAGAGCGCCCGCCCCAGGGCCCTGCCGCCTGCAGAGAAGTGAGGCTTCAGCCCCCGCTGCCCATGTGGGGGGGGGAGGGGTGCAGCCCCTGCTGCTGCAGCACCAGGCCCCCCGTAGTAATCCCCTGGGCTGCACTGCTTGGGGAAGGGGTGCAATGGGGGGGTGTTGCCCAACGCCCTGCACCCCCTCGAGTTGGCTTTAGGGGCTGTCAGTAGTTTAGTTTCTGAGGGACGGCTCAGCCATGCTTCAGCCCCCGCTGCCCATGTGGGGGGGGGAGGGGTGCAGCCCCTGCTGCTGCAGCACCAGGCCCCCCGTAGTAATCCCCTGGGCTGCACTGCTTGGGGAAGGGGTGCAATGGGGGGGTGTTGCCCAACGCCCTGCACCCCCTCGAGTTGGCTTTAGGGGCTGTCAGTAGTTTAGTTTCTGAGGGACGGCTCAGCCATGACAACGCCCAAGGGCCTGTCTCCATCCCGCCAGGGCGCCGCCAGCCGCTGAATTATCACCTCTGAAGACGCCGCAGCGAGAACGTCGACTGCAGCGCCGCTTGAGCAAGGCCAAGGGGACACGGGCGAGGGGCTAGACGGAGCCACCTGGGGCCCAATGAGAGCTACGTACAGGCGAACGAGGGACTCGTGACAGGGCCAAGAGGCTGGGGCTGAGGGAGACCCCAGCAAAACCTTCGAAGGGAACGTAACCCTCCGAGGAGTAAAATGGAGGGTCTGCCAGGGCAGCCAGTATCATGGCGAGACGGGAAGAGCCGCTCGGTCAGCTGGTGCCCAGGGGGCGGGACAGCCCCAGTAGAACAGGAGTGAACAGATGCAGAGACTGCAAGCCACCGAGCCGTAGGTGTTAGCCCGGCCTTCTGCGGCACAGGCCACCCCTGGAGCCCAGCAACATGTGGCTGAGCCATGGAAGCACCGGGATGAACGGTTGTTGGTGGCTTCCATGAAACGAGCTTGGGGAGTCTCAGTCTACAGCCTGGTGAATAACGAAAAAGCCACCACGGCCCTTGGCACAGGCATGGCCTTTTCCTGGCGGGCTCCGCCACAGTACTGGGAACAGACCAGGGCGCCAAGGCAGAATTCCCCTCGTTCATGGAGCTGCCTCCCCTACTGACCCCCTCTCTAGGCCCCTCCTGCCAGCATCTCTCGGGGGCACTAGGTGGGCCTGCGGGGGTTCCAAATCCCACGGGAATTAATTACCTTCTCGTTGGCCAAAGCCCTTTAGATCAAGTGCCTGCGCGAGGGGCGCGCTCAGACTCCAGCCGCGCAGATGGGAAGGCTGCATCTGTCTGGGGATTAGCGGAGGGTAGATGGAGCTAAATGGCTCTCCGCAGCCTCAGCCCACTCCCAGCTGACGGCAGCCTGGAACAGGAGACCACCACCACTTCGCAGGGAGGCTGACTCTTAACGGTGCTCTTGGGGGGCAGAGGCAGACGGGGGCTTGCTGCTCCCAGCCAAGCGAGGGAAAGCTGGAGAGAGGTCACGCAGCACGAACCCATCCGGGCTTGCGCCACAGCTGCCCTCCTGTCTGCTGGCACTTGCGACACGCGGGGAACAAAGCGAGCCGACGTTGGCTTTGCCCCTCCGGGGGTAGGTGCACGATGCGCAGGTTAAATCCAGAGGGGAGGAGCTGCTGGCTGCTCCTCTCCTGCCTCTCAAGGTAACAGCTGTGTAGGAAGATCCGAGAAGCAGGCATTGCTTCCCTCAAGGCCAGCTGGAGACATGAGCAGCCAGAGTCAAGACAGCCTCAAGTCCACCCGGAGGGGGTTCAGCTACCGTGGTGAACGGCGGCAGGGCAATTTACAGGAGCGGCGTTTCCTGTCTGCTCGAGGGGAGGATGCTCCGGTGACCGGGAAATGAACCTTGCACCTGCTCCAGGAAGCCAGGGGGCACCTCGCAGGCTCAGCCCCGTCACGAAGAGAGTTAGAAAGAGACGATTGTCGTCTGCAGCATGTACCCAGGCCACCAACACTGGGCCTGGGGCTCTTCGGCCGAGCAGAGGAAGGGCTAACGCAGGCCAGAGGCTGAAGGATGCCTTCTGGCAGTCAGACATTGGCTTTCAATGGCAAGAGCAACAGGGGCTGGAGCCAGTTACCCAGGGCCAGGGTGGGTTCTCCAGCATGGATCGTTTCCAAATCACGAGCGGAAGGTTTCCTAGATGACGGCTCAGGAATTATCCTGGGACGTTCTCTGGCCCGTGCCGTGTAGAAGACGACACTGGATGATTACAACGGTCCCTGTGGGCCTTAGAATCGAGGACTCTGACCCCTTTCGTTTCCATCCACGGATTCGTTTCCCAGCTCAGGGCTGGGAGGGACGAGAGCGAAAGGAAACCCACATTCACGTGGGCTGTGCCCTCCCGCCCCTCCCTCGACAGCCCAGGCAGGAGCGTGGGCGCTGGACAGAAGGAAACGGTTCTCAGCCACGGAGCCCCCACCTGCAGCCCCGTGTCCATGGCTGATGGGCTCATCGCTGGACCACGCAGACGCGCGGTGGCTATTTTGGGCACGGAACGCGGTTTATCTTTGGAGACAGCGGAGTTCGTATTAAACCGATTAGGGCCATTAAAGCCATTTTTAACAGTATGGTCATCAGACAGCTCAGTGGGGCAGACTGGATCCCCCCCCCCCCCCGCTACACCAAGAGCCCAACTCTGGCTGGGAAAGGCGGGAGCGGGGGAGGGGGAGGGAAGGCTCTCTGCCTCAGAGTCCTTACAAAACAGCAGCGCTGGACGCGCCAAAGCCGGCATTCAGCTCTTGCCGATCCAGCGCAAGGGAGGGGCACAGCAGCTACCCTTCTCTGGGCGGAGCTCCCCCGGTGGGTCAAACAAATCAGTGATGCTGATTTGCAGGGCGTTACACTGCAGCACCCGGGACCCGAGAGCGTATCCTGGCCAGTCAGCCTAACCCCCAACCCCAGATCCACCCCCGAGCCCGCCAGAGGGGGATCTGTCCCTAGAAGCCCCTTTTCAGCCATTCAGGCTGCTCCCCAATGCGCAGAGCCCTGGGGCGCCCACACTGAGTGCGTCTGGGGCAGCTGCAGGGACACCTGGCACTCTGAAGGCCAGAAGCCCCAAGGCAGAAGCCTTAGCCCAGCAGCCTGCACTCTTTGAGGCAATCTTCCCCCAAGCCCCGGGCCCCGACAGAGCGGGTTTTACACAAGGAGGCTGGATCTCTCGCGGCACCATCAGAATGAAGCGCAGAGGCATTCCCTGCCCCACAGAAACGCGAGAGGCCCCTGGAGCACACCTGCTCCCCATACGCCGCCGAGCCCCACGGCTGCCAAACCAAGGGAGGAGCCCCTGGGCATCAGGGCTCACCCGGGGCCAACTCCACGGAGCTTAGTTCTAGCCCCTTGGCAAGACGGTTTCAAAGGTGCGGCCTGGCTGCGACAGGCAGAGAGGAGACTCCCTTCTACCCGGGGCATGCCAAGGGGAGGGGCGCAGCTTCCTCGGGCATGTCCGGAGAAGAGAGCAGCCCCGGGATAACATGCAGGCCCCAGAAGCCTGGCACAGAACGGAGCGACCAAACCAGAAGGCCAGTCACGCCCTTGCTAAACCCCCAATGTTTCTACTTTATTCAGGTGTGGAAAAAGCCTCCATAAATAAATGACGGTGGCGAGAATTCCCCAGCCCGTAGCTCTCTGCTTGTGGCCAAGGCTGGCATGAGCACAGTGTGTCTGTCCCTGAGAATGACCCACTCAAGTGCCGGCAAATTAGACCCCCCCCAGGTGAGATGCTGCATCACTGCCTGGGACTGACAGACAACGCCACACGGCAGCCCCCGGGGAGCTTGCTTGGAGGCTCGGCTGCTTTCAGGCTTTGGGATCCCGGCCCCATTCATGCCGGCTGAAGGCGGCACACGCCTGCCTACGGCCTGCTCTGCCTATCCCCAGACCCTCCCTGTGCTCTGCTCCATTCGATCGATTCCATCGGGGGGCAGAACGGCGGCTGACCCTGCTTCCCGGCTGCTGGGGGCAGGACAGAGGCTAGATTTGGTCCCGTCCCAAGTTCTCCGTCCCGTCGCTATCTCCTTGAGTCTCTGTGTAAGGGGCTCGGCTTCCTGCCGAGCTGAGGCTGGAGTGCAGCTTCCATCTTTTCTTCAGCTGGTACACGTGCGTCTTTGACTTCGTGTGAGCTGGGGGCAAAAAGAAGACAAAGTGACTCGGGGGGACTTGGGAAAGGAAACACCCAACTCGGCCAATCCCATGATGGGCCTCAGCTCCCCCCTTTCGCTCCCTAGGGGCATGAGGAAGCCCATTACCTCTTAGGATCTGTCTCCCATGCCCCAGTAGCATCTCTTCCTGTCTCTCGCGGAGGTATTCCTTTTAGGCCAAATCACTTCCTACTAGGGAAAGGCTTTGTGTTTAAAATATTGTCATCCACTTGACTAATCCAAATGGATAAACATTACACACACACACACACTTCAGAAGACCAATGGCCTGTATTCACTATGGCTGGGTCCATGGAGCAGCGATCAATCCAGTAGGGGTAAAGTAATACAAGACACAATAAATCAATCACCAATCGCTCTCCCATTGACTCTACTACTCTACCTTAGCGAGAAGCACGAGGGAGTTGATGGGAGAGCGTCTCCAGGTGACACATCACAGTGAAGACATCATGGTAAGTAGATACAAGTACGTCAACCTGGTAGCTATGTTATTCAGGTAGCTAAAGTACTGTAATTTAGACGGCTCTCCCGTGGTAGTGTAGACCAGCCCTCTGGCTTCATCTACACTACAGTTGGGATCTACGGAGGAGAGATCAATACACTGGCAGTCGACTTCGCAGGTCTAGCAAAGACCTGCCAAATCAACCACAGATCACTCTCCAGTTGACCCTGGTACTCTACCCCAAACGAAAAGAGTAAGGTAAGTAGACAGAAGAGCATCTCTCGTTGACTCCGTGTGGTGTAAACACCGCACTAACTTGACTGAAGGTATGTCGACTCAGCTATGTTATTCACATAGCTGGAGCGAGTACTTTAGGTCAACTTACTTCAGCAGTGTAGATGTTGCCTCAGAAATGGGTGACCGCTACACTGCTGTGTCTAGCCTTCAGTGAAGAGCATCTGCCAGAAGACTGGTATCACAAAACGATGGTCATGTCTCATTATGTCGTGAAGCTGCACAATTGTCTGGCACCATACGCCTTTCTAGGCAGTACACCAGGGCTGGGTGTTGTGGGTCTCCATAGACTGGGTAACGTTAACACCTACAGAGCTGTCCTAAAGCCCAGGGTGTCACAGTTAGGCCCTGATCCTGGAAACACCCATGTGTCTGCTTCCCTTTGAGCACAAAAACAGTCCCTGGCCTACACTCAAAGTTTTCATAGCGTAACCGTTATGCCCATCAAACCGTTAGGTACATGCAATTACATCCCTATCAAGTACCTCACCAAACCAGAATAGCAATGGCCGTATATCAGTGTAAAAGTGCTTATAACAGCCTCCTCACTAGGGATGTGAAAGTGTGACCCTGTAAATGGTTAACCAATGAGCCTGGGCTTATCAGTTAGTGTTCATGGTTACATGCACACTCCCGTTACATGATGCCAGGTGGGAGCTGGTACTCACAGAGAGCCAGCTTAAAAGTTGGCTCCCTACGCGCACTGGCTCCCAGGGAGCTGCCTGCCCCCCTATGTGTAAACA